GAATGAATGCAGCAGAGTGTAGAGAAATCCTGGAGGACAACCTGATGCAGTCTGCAGGAGAACTGAGACGTGGAGAAGACTTGGTTTCCATCAGGACGTTGAGCCTGAAGCAAACCGTTTCTAAACATCTGAATTTAAGAGTTTGTGTCTGAATGGATAAAATGCGGTGCAGGAAATGTGTAACATCTCCGTCTGCTAACCGGCTCTCTGTGGTGAGTTCAGGTGCATCAGGGCGTCTGACCTCAGTCTGACTCTGGTTTTCAGACGTTTCTTCTCTCTGCTGCTGATTTTGGTCTTCATGCATTCTGGTTTCTAATGTAAGCGTGCAGCGCTGAGGCCTGAGCTGACAGATGCAGCTCTGCCGCGTTGCACCGCAGGAATGCAGCATCAACCGGCATCAACGCAACGATCTTCATGCAGCTGGAAGAAGACAAGGAGTCCCTTTATCCTCCAGTGGAGGTCATCAACAAATCAATTCTTAGTTCTCAGGGACCACTGGTGGATCAGAACTCCTGGATAGAACCACACCATGAAGACTGAAGAACCCTCCAAGAACTCTGGGAAAAGGTTGTTGAGAAGCATCAGTCAGGAGACGATACAAGAACATCTACAGGTTCCTGAACATCTCTGGAGTCCAGTTAAATCCATCATTAAGACATGGAAGGAACATGGACCATGAGTAGATCTGACTGGAGCAGGACGTCCTCAGAGACTGAGAGACCGAGCAAGAAGGAGACTAGAGAGGGAGGAAACCAAGACTCCTATGACTCCAGAAGACATGTGGAGACTCTGAGGTCACCTGGAAGAAGGTTCTTTGGTCTGAGGAGACCAGAATGGAGCTTTTTGACCATCAGGTTAGACGTTATGTTTGATGGACACCAAACACATCATCCCCACTGTGAAGCACGGTGGTGGCAGCATCATGATGTTGGGATCTTCTCAGCAGCAACCTGGAAGATTTGTTTTCCATCACTGAGCCGAAGCTCCACAGAAATGTAAATTGATTCACATTTCAGGTTTGAGTTTCCATTCTGGACGTAAACAGACTCAGATCCTCGTGGATGTAAAATTTGTTTTTTCTTTTGTTGAACCCAACAGTGAATGAACTGAAGTCAGTAGAAATAAACGGACTGATCCTTTAAACAGCTGCAGTGTTTTGAGGTTCGACCACCAGCGCAGAGAACAAGTGCTGTTATGAAACCAAATAGTTGTCTGAGCTTCTGTTTACATGAGATCTGTGACTGTGAGCTCAGTGTTAAACACCATCAGGCCGACCCGACGGGAGGCTGGTCCAGAATCACACCATCAATCAGACAGAAGAATTAAAAAAAATAATTTAAACAACACGCTGTAAAAATAAAATCAGTTATTTTACAGAATTTTAGTGAGTTTTTAACAATTAAAAATAAAAATTATTTACATGAAATAAAACACAAGATTTTTAAATAAAGTTTTTATGTTTTAAACCACGTGACACCTGATAGGATCTAAAATTAATCGTTTAGTCCTGCATTTATCATCATAAGTGTTTGTTTAATAATAATTTTGAAGGTGTTTCGGGTTTTTTGGGCTCCGGCTGTCAGAATTTTACTGTTTTGTTTTAGTTGTTTACATTTTTTTAGTTCACCATGTTGAGTTTTTGTCCCTGTTGTGATAAAATAATGACTGGAAATAATATTTTAGACAATTTTCGACTCATTTCTTGACAAATTCTGATTGACTTCCGACAGGTTTTTGTCATTCTAGACATTTCTGAGTCATTTATTACAATTTCTGTAACGCTTGGGCCAAATTTGAGGTAACTCTGGACATTTGTTTTGTTCATTTTGAGCATTTTTAGGCATTTCCAGCAGGTTTGAGGTGGTTCTAGGAGCCCAGTGTTTTTATGGAGGAGGTCGGGGTGGATGACTTTAGGAACTTGGTTGATGATGAACAACCTGCTTCAACCTTCACAGAGTCGATGTTTTAACCCAAAGCTCCTCGTCAGGTTCGGGTCTGTTTGTGTCGGACGTGAAGGAGGACGCGATGAAAGACCGGCTCGGTGGAATTTACCCTTGACGGACTCCACGATGACGCCGGCTTCATTAATCCGCCGCTCGTGTTTCAGAGCTGCAGGTCGAAGCCGAGACGTGAAGCAGGAAGTTCA